TTCTTGATATAAAATCCAATTAATTGTGGGCATAAGACTGCTGCGAAAACGGCATCTCTCTCTCATGTAATGTTAAAATGCTTAAAAATCGTTTATTGATTCCTTTTAGAATTGCTTCTAGCAGTACTTGTCCGCCGTAACTAAAGTTTTCTACAGTCAGTTTTTCCAGCTTATTTTTTAACGAAATGATGCTTGGCGGTAGGTAACCATAGTAGTTCATATTTTGACCTTGTAGGAAATCAAGTGTAGCCGCTAATGGAGACATAACCATTACATATTCTTCAAGATATTGCATTTCTGTTTCTTTGAAGCCAACAAGATCCAGTCGTTGAAAAAGTGTTGGAAGTTTGGGTTTTTCCTTCAAGATCTGACTAATGGAATCAAAATAAGAATTCCATCGAGTTTGGCCAGGATAACTAAGACTGTGGTTCAACACTTCCAAAATTATTTCACTCGATTTTGGTTTTCCTGAAAACTACATACATTAGATGCCGATTGCTGATATCAATATATATATCGATTACTTACTCGCTTTTTTCCACAATTTGGAGCACTTATCGAAGGCATGCATGTGTCTCGTTCTAATGGCGGCATTTTTTGAAATTGCATTTTGGCAATCCGTTGTAGCAATGAGATTGCATGTGTGCGATGCGCATCGTTTATGATTTGGAAGTACATTCTTTAAACTTAGTAAGTTTCCTCTTAAACTAGTGGTTTCATACTCAACGTCTTCATCATTGTATAAAATCTCTGTTTCCTCATCTGTCTGATTTTTTTCTCTAATTACTCCTTCTGGCGCATCCTCATCTTCTTCCAGTGAACAAAACTGCCTGAATGCCTTCACAAAATTACTGGCATTGTCAGTGACCGTTGCAGTTATTTTTGTGACAGCTAAACCGTATTTTAAGTTTATGTTTTGCAAATGGTCTGTGATATTTGCAAAATCGTGGGTTCCGACGATTCTTTTGCATGCTAATGCAGCCGTTCCTCTTGAAAAGTCTGAATTTATCCAGTGCACGGTAACTCCCATAAAACTTCTCCTTTTAGCTGACCAAATATCAGCTGTTGTACATACATGGTCAACTGTCTTCACTCTTTTCAATGATTTTGTTGCATTCTGTGTGATAAAGCTCGGAAATCTTCTTTATAGCAGCTTTCCTATTCATAACTGTGACACCAAAATCCTTCAAACAGTTAATAAAACTTTGGTTTCAACAATAGATACTGGAGACATAGATTGAGCTATAAATTTAACAATTCTTTCATCAAACAACTTCTGACAACTACTGACTTTCTGTTAGGGCATATTTTTGAACTGAAAGAAGATGATATAGTGGCTCTCGATTTATTATTTAGATGTTCATCAACTTTTTCTCTATTATGCTGTTCACGTTCAGATGAAGATTTATTTTTCGCTTCCTTGTGTTCCTTGTATCGCCGAAAACCATTAGGATGGATACGGTCAAGATGTTTTAAAAAATTGGTTGATGTAGAATGGAGCCCTTTTATAATGTTTGTCTTTGGAAGACAAATTTGGCAAATTGCTTCACATTTGCTATTAGAAGGACAACGTACTTTAAAAAATGTGCCATCAAGAATTGTAGCAGTGGGGTAGTTCTTATCACTATGAGTTGGACTAGTGGGAGTAGTAACAGTGGTCGACTCTTGTTCTATGTTTAGTGTTAAGGGGGGATTTGTTGACCTACTGGAAGCACTAGTGTTGGCAATACGATTATTTTTTGACGAGTGTGGCATTAGGTAGTCTGAAATCTTCCTTTTTCTTTTTTATCTGTGTTCTAGCGTCTCTGGTATATATTCTGGGTCATCATCGGAAATATCTTCATAGGGGTCTTCAACAAAATACGCATCGACAACATTTTCTGCTCCTAAAATACACACATAATTAAATGTTGAAATGTTTGTTATCCCAGTTCTTCCGACAAGACAATTACTCCACAATGTCGCCCGTGCATTCGGTTTTTAATTTTTTGTACACGTTAACGTGCACCTAGACATGACGTATTTCTTACCTTGCATTTCAATTATGCCCTCAATTGTTTTTTTGAAAACTCTTCGTCAGTTCATTCAAGTGATGAGTAGGTAATCAACCTGCACTCTGCAGTAAGAATGAATAGGAACCTTTGTCATCATAATATAAATAAAGTATTCATGGTTACAAAAAGTAACCACTAATACAAAAGTAATCATGATTACAAATCATGAATACATTATGATTATTTTTTTCACTATTAGCGTCTGATGACATGATTATTAACCTTTTTTCCACTTGTAAAGTAGGCTTTCTCGGCATTTGTTCAAAGTGGTTAATAATTTTTTATTATTAACTAGTAGTCAATAATGAGAACTGTCACGCTGTCACTTTTAGAAAACACAACCCGAAATTTCGCTCAATGAACGTTTAGACAAGTTCTCTAAAACGAATAATTGCCACCATTCGCAATTTCCAGAGAAATTACATACCTAAAATTATCACATTTTGAAAAAATTCGAACGAAATTACTCTTTGAAAAATCTCACAGCCAAGTTCATAATAAACTTAAAGTCGCATTTAAATATAAAGCTACTTTAAAATTCAACAATGGAGTTCATAATAACATTTTAAAGTAACTTTAAGCTAAAAACAACTTTAAAGTTAAAGACCCGATGTTGGCTATTTAACGCCGCTAAAGTAGAATTAAGTATATATAACCTCAGAAACGATCGAGGTGACGTTTTCGCTGTAACGAGTATTCTTATATTAAATTCATTTCTCTTTGTTATCGCACCTACGTATTAAAATGAATGTACTTGATACATCCTCAAGCTCTAGTTCGTCAGAGGAAGAGGAACTTATAATGCTTCGAAGGCCCAAAATCTATCGGGAACGAAAAAATCATTTTCAAAACTACGATGATCTGGATTTTTTCGATAGGTTTCGGTTAACAAAACGTACAGTGGTTTCGATTTTAAATCAAATTGAGCCCCAGATTGCTTTACCGACAAACAGGTATACTGAAATGTTGTTAAATTTCACTAGTTTTTAACGCGTAATCATTTTCAGAGGTGGATGCGTAAAACCTATGCTACAGCTTCTGTTAACTTTAAGGTTTTATGCATCTGGAAATATGCAAATTAGTGTTGCTGATTTCATTGGAATATCTAGGCCAACGGCATGTCGAATTATAAAGAGGGTGTCTACAGCTCTCGCTTCATTAACACCACGTTACATTCAAATGCCTGCAACCGATGCTGAAATGCAAAGAACTGCTGAAGAGTTCTACAACATTGCTTCGTTTCCACGAACTACAGGAGCTATAGACTGCACCTTAGTAAGGATTGATTCTACTGGAGGAAACGACGCCGAAATTTTTCGTTGTAGAAAGGGTTTTTTTGCTCTAAATGTCCAAACAATTAGCGATTCAAGGTTACGAATTCCTAATTTAGTTTTTCGTCGACCTCTCGATAACAATATAAATTACTCCTTAGTGACGAGTACAATGATGAAGCTTATTAATCGTTAGCAACCATTAATGGTTAGCAACCAACCATTATACGTTAGCAACCATTAATCGTTAGCAACCACTTATACATAACAACCATTTTATTAAAGGGAAATGACAATTATATAACAATTCACTTTCGGCAACAGCTGAGAACTTCCATCCACCTAACCATCTTAATCTCGGTTTTTAATGTAGTGAGATCAGCAGCCAGTATGGTCGCCAAACGATCTCAGCAAAGCATATCATGATGTATGTATGTGTAGCTCCTCGGATAATGTATTGTTAAGGTATTCAGTTGCTTTACCTTCAACATTGAGTACGTCGACCACAGGGATGAACATTTCCATATCTTTCACTGTTAATACACGTACTTTAGTACAGTTGCAAAAGAATTAATTACATTCTAATTTCACATACCTTTTCAAGGTAAAATGTCAACGTGACATTTTCGGAAATATCTCCTTTCAAATTCATTGTATTCCATCAATTGCCGAACTGATCGAAACCGTTCCAATAAGTTTCTTTTGATTTGAGTGGATATAATGTTAAAATCGTCTCCGCAGCAGAGCAAGCAACATAATCTTCCACTGCGATTACGAGGACTGACGGTACAGCATAAAACAACACATTACTATAGCAACGACAATAGCTGTAATTTAGTGAAAAATCGTCGGAGCTCATAATTTCGTTTGTAATTTCTTGTAGTTGAATTTAAAATTACCTACCCCAGTGAAGTCGACGAAAAAACGTTGTATGCAATTCATGTATAAATCGGCGATTATTGGTTCGTTCGAATTTAGTCGACTCGCTGCGCTCGTGGACTAAACATCTCACTCACCAATAAAACGCCTCATTTATACACTCATTGCATAAATAACTATTGTAGGTGGCCAGGATCTGTTCACGATCAGACGATCTTCAATAATAGCAATTTAAAGAGAATGTTTGAAGATGGAGTGTATGGAAGGTATTTATTGGTTGGTGATAGTGGATATACCATACAAAAATACTTAATGACAAAACTGCTTGAAACTCACACCGATGCAGAAAACCTGTACAACGAATCCATAATACGAACTCGAAATACTGTAGAACGACAGTATGGTGTATGGAAACGAAGGTTTCCCATATTAAAATTTGGTATGCGCATGAAGATGGAAAATATTATGAATATTATCGCAGCAACAGCTGTATTACATAATATAGTGATGAAATGAATGAAATCATCCCAGAAGAGTGGATGGAAGTCGATGAAGATGACGACAACCTCCCAGAGCTACCGGAGCTACCAAACGATAATAACGTAAATCTAGGTCGTCAATTTAGGCAAATGTTAATTAACGAACATTTTGCACGTTTGCTGTAAATAGAAATAATTTGTATAGTTGTTTTTTTCTATAATTAAAATAATTGAAATTGAAAAACAAATTTAAGTTTTATTTAGTTCTTTTTTTTTAGTTCTATTTCTAAATCTAATAAAATCATTTTTTTAGAATGCTCCTCTTCTTATAAAGTTCTTGTTTGGCTTTAAACACTGGATTTGGTATACTGGGACGCAGTTGTCGTGATGTTTTCCTTTTTAACTGCATTCCAGAATAACTGCTCCAATCTGTGCCCTATAGCAGATGTACTTAAAATATCTAAAAAGAAAATTAAGAAAAATTACCTCACTGGAGGAAGCTTCAATTTTGTCTTCCTATTAATCTCAGATCATAATGTTGGTGGTACCACTGCTACATCAGGTGAAACCAGGCTACCTCGAATAAATCAATTTGCAATATAATTTTGTAAACAAGTATGTTTTGGTAGTCATAGAATACACTTACGTTATAAGGTTGGTCAACCTCTACAGCTTCATATGTGATTACCGTTGGCACACAACTGGATTGTGATATCTAAAATTTAAAATTATTTAGTGCTCACAAGAACGATACTCGGGTTAATAAACATACGTTGCATGCTACACTATCAGAATCGAAAGTTGATTCGAGTCCCACTACCGTCTTATAACTAATTATATTTAATATAGCTTCGGTAACGGGACTCAGATCACCAATATAGGCAGGGCCACCACCTGTTCCTTTGACCCCTTTTTTCATATCAGCCATCTCTTTTCTTGCTTTCGACTTTAAATTGTCATATTTTGATTGAATTTGCTCAAGTTTTCTTGCGCCAACCTCCTTCTTTGAATTAAAAGATACCAGCACCTTATTCCAAGCATCTTCCTATGAGAAAATTATTATAATTGTTTAATAAAATTGTATTAAATTAGATACCTTGTCTTTTTTCGTCAGCTTATTTGTAGTTTTACATTCAATAATTTTTTTATATTTTGTGATCTCTTGTAAAAGAATTATTCTTCTTTAGAAAAATTAAGTGGAACGATTCCTTTTAGATTCTGTTTTCGATGACCTGATGTAAAAAATATAAAAATTACAATAAATTGTCTTATGATCAACCCAAAACTTACATCTCATTCATTTTGCTGCAGATTACGAACTTTTTAAAAATAAATCACGGCACAAAATAAACAAATTTTTAACACACGAAGACAAAGAATTAATATAACTTCAAAATGAAAACGCACATGTAGTGTAGATAGCAGTATTTTTGCACTATTTGTGGTACACGTGAACTACTCACTATTGCCAACTTTTATTTATGTCGTTAAAATTAATTTAACTAAAGTCGTAGACGTCACAGATTATGAACTCTAATAATTTTAAAGTAGCTTTAAATTTGACTTTATACTAAAGTTTCATTTAACAAAAGTAACTTTAAGCTACTGATTATGAAATTGGCTGTTAATGACAGAACAAAATACCGCCTGTTTGACTTGTACTTCCACGTACTTGATTGACATGTTAAATTAAGAAACAAACAATTCTGTCCAACCGTTAACTCTCTTATCAATATAATATGTTAATTTAGAGGATTTCAAGTGCTAGTAGTGAAAAAAATAGTATATATACCACGGTAGAGAAGTCTATTACTTCGCACCTTACACCCCTCGGCGCAAGCGCCTCGAGATGTAATCTTGGTGCTCAGGCAATAATAGTGGACTTCTCTACCTTGATATATAATGTACTATTACGATTACTTTTGACTAAAAGTAGTCAGATTACAATAACGATTACAATTTTGAAAAAGTATTCGATTACAGATTACTGATTACACCGAAAGTAATCAAATACTGTATTCGAATACTTCCCAGCTCTGCTTTCTGCCAACCCGTTTGAAGCGGGGTGATATCGGTGCGCTTAACTAATCTATTATACCGTTCTGTTGTAGGAACCGTATCGTATGATAGGTATAAACGTTGGACCATTGTCCGAAACTAATATTTTTGGTAGTCCGTAAGTTGCAAAGATTTTCCGTAATATTACAATTGTATTTTGTGTTTGCATATTTTTTACCATATGAATTTCAGGCCACCGTGTATATGCGTCCACTAACACAAAATAGTACGAATTCATGAACGGACCCGCAAAATCTATATGAACTCGCTCGAAAGGTAAGCTTGGCGTTTCGCAGGATGTACTGACACTTTTCCAGGCTCATTTTTATTTTTGTTACAATCAGCACAATTTTTACATAGATTTTCTACATCCTACGATATTCCTGGCCACCAACAATGATTTCGCGCGAGAGCGTTCATTTTCACTATCCCGAAGTGTAAAATATGCAGTTCTTGTAAGACATTCGGTCGGAATGACAGCTAAATTTTGTCTGAAAATACAATGGTTGTGTAGTGAAAACGCAATTTGGGGAATGTTGAATCTATCTTTCGCGTCAATAGTCGTTCCGTTTTTGAGTGCTTGTAATAATTTTGTAAAGCTTGGTTCATTTTCAGTCTCACTTTCTAGCTGTTTTAACGTAATAGGTAAATTTTCTACTTGTAATATTTCAATTTGGTCAGTCATGTCATAATAAAACTGACTGACTTTTGTCGGTAATCGAGACCTTGCATCCGCGTTACCATGCTGTTTTGTATTTCTGTAAATAATATGGTAGTCGAAACCTTGTAAAAGTAATGCATAGTGCCGCATGGTGTAGTTGAAAGTATTGGTAATGATTTCGAAGGTGAAAATATCTGTACCTACTAATGGTTTATGATCTGTAATCAGTGTGAACTGTCTACCAAATAGATAATAATAAAATCGTTTTACCCCGAAAATGAGGGCGTACGCCTCCTTATCTATTTGCGCATATTTTTGCTGTACCTGTGTAAGCGTTTGCGAAACGAATTGAATAGGTCTGTTCCGTCGGAATACTTATGTGATAGTACTGCACCCACAGCCTAAGGGCTCGCGTCTGTAGCGAGTATTAAGGGGAATTTGAATGCGCTAACACCCGTTCCGATAGTATTTCTTGTTTTAATTGTATATTGTATTGTTTATATTGTTTTATTATTTATTAAATGCGTAATCACATTTTTTTGTCCCAATTGAATCTGACCCCATCTTTTAATAACTTGTAAATTGGGTGTAACTGTGTAAGGTGTCACCTAGATTTTGTAAAATTGTTATTACAGAGGAAAGTTTGTAGTTCTCTGAACCACAACCTAATGCTTTCTTCCGTCACAACAGCCCTTGCTTTATTTATTGCTTATGCTTCTCGAACAAATACTTCAGGATGACGTTTCAAAAAGTTGCCACACCATCTTTGTCCTGGTTTTCCATTTTTAAATAGGTGTTGCTTATTTGAAGTATGAAGTATGCTTTCAACTGTTGAAATAAGGTGGGCTTTTTTGATTGGGAAACCACATTTAGCTAAATTGATGGCCCACTGTACAATTTTTTCTTCGCAATCGATGGTTAATAATGGCTCTGGTCCAGTTTTTCCCGAAATTTTTGGTATTTTCCCATGCAGGTGGTCCTGAATGGTACTTGGAACCCAAATTTCCTACACGCAGCCCTTATTTTCATTTTATTTTCCCTTATCTTATAAAGAGCCTGCTTTAATTATTATTAATTGGTCTTCTGAATAATTATAAAATTTTCTCTTCTGTTTGACTTTCTGGGGTGTTTTTTTGGTCGTTTTTAGTTTTGTTTTCCGAGTTTCCACTGGAAGAAAACGAAAAATGTTAAGCGGTCGAAAAGTAATCAGCCCTCTTTTCGTATACGAGTATGAAAAACACATGTATAGTCTTTCGCGCGGGCGAAAACGGGATAAGTTGCTACTGGCTTTCGGCCACTATGTATTCCATTCAGATTTGCATTAACGCATAAGAAAACGGTGGCCGAAAACTGGAACCGAAGTTTATATTGTACTTTGAAGTAATGTGCCAAACGCCGAAAGATATACCTACGTTAGTTCGTGTACCTAAAAAAAGAATAGACAACTTTGTTCAGCACGAACCGGTTTTCGGCCAATCCGGCCGACAAACGGGATAGGTTTTTAATACAACAATCCGGTTACCGACCACTCAAATTTCATTACAAATACGCAACAAATTTAACTTTTCTGTATTTTAAAGCGTAATATTGAACATAGGTACTTTATTGCAAACTGATACCCAACTATGTTAAAGCTTTGATATATCTTTGTAGACTGGGGTGAAATTGTGCCGCTTTTTGTGGGTTTTGTATAATTGTGCAAAAACAAATCAAGCTATGGCTGATCAGGCAATTTAGTTGGGTGGCCATAGTTAATAAATCGCAAGGCATTTAATGAGCCATTTTGGAAACGTGCGTTTATAAGGGTAAAAATGCCTGCTCAACCCGAATTCGGATGTTGCCAAGCTGATTTTTGGCTAATTTCAAAATGGCGGCCAATATGGCGGCCAAATATATAAATTTTTATGTCAGATGCATTTTACATAGTTTTTCGGATTGAGGTGTTAAAAAAACATACAGGAGGCACAGAACATTGCAAAACTTATATATTGGGGTACATTATACAGACAACACGGTAACAATATAGAGATAATTCTGACGGCAAATGTATTACCTATATTTCGTTCAAAAATTTTAACGGAACTTAAATTTCTTCATCATTCTGCTCATTTTTTTTAAGATTGAAGCAGTCGTCAAGACACTTGTAGATATTTGTGCACTTTTAGTTCATAGCATAATTTATTTAAAGCCAAGTTTTTAGGAGGACTAGTCTGACCATTCGATTTTTCAGTGTCCCTTATCGCATTTGCGAGACAATATGTATGGTACAAGATGCCCCCGGCAACAGCATCATGAGAAGATGCAACTCTACGCCCTTCTGTACCCACTGCACCCAATGTAAATTTCCATAAGAGGGTCGGCCTAAAAAACTCAAGTTGTTTTTGAAAAATAAAATTTCATATTAATAATATATAAATTTTATATTTTATAAATTTAGACCTTTATCTACAAAATGTTCGGACTATTTTTTTAAAAAAGTTTATAGCAACTGAATACCGGCTGTTTAAAGATTAGATATTTTGCACCGTTTATTGCGCTAACCTGTTTTATTGTTTTACTCTCGATCAAGACGATTTATGGAAAAAGTAAACCGACAGTTTTCTAGATAAGTTACTTCTGAACATTACCCCAAAAAATGAAATCATATTTTTTGTAAATAAAGTCTCTAACTTACTAAACAATTTGTGTGTAGCAAGTGGCGCCGCTCTACTGTGTCGGCGGGAACCGAGGGGTAAACCACCTAGTTAATTCGGTGTACAAATAGTAGTTAATGAATTAAAATTAACTTTTAATGTAGTTAATATGTTCTGTAAATGCAGTTAATTTCAAGTTAATTCAGTTAATGTAATTTAATGTGGTTAATGCTAAGTTAATGTAATTAATTTACATTTAATGCCATTTAATACTACTCGAGATACCACTATCGGTAGTGGCTATAGCATGTGAAAAACCAAATTTTGAACCTGGTGTTAGATTTGGGGTGTTCCATATCAAAG